TGTATACTAGTAGCCAGAGGGGAAGGGGGCTGGGGGGTTATGTGAAAAAGGTGGGGGGGTTTAAGAAGTACAAATTGGTAGCCACAAAACAGTCATGGGGATGTAAAGTACAGCCTAGGGAACCTCATCAATTATATTGGAATTATGGTGTCGGGGTTATTAGGCTTATCAGGGGGGCCACTTTATAACTTATATAAATGTCTAGCTACTATGCTGCACACCTCAAAGTAATATACTATTGAATGCCAACTGTAACTGAAAAAAATATAAAAATAATACATTTTCAATTTTAAGAAAAACAGAAAGAAAAAGCTCCCTGCTTTTCACCATTCAGTACGATATTAGCTGTGAGTTTTGTGTGCGGCCTTTGTTATTAGCTAGGTATGCTGCCTCCTAGCCTACTCTTCGGAAAGTTCTTATCGTAACTGGATATTGGACTCTATCAAATGCTTTTTCTTCATCTAGTGACATGTTCATATGATTCCGATCCTTCATTTTGTTGATGTGGAGTAGAACATTAGTTCATTTGTGAACGGTGAACCAACTCTGCATCATGGAAATAAACTCCACCTGATCATGGAAAAAGAAAAACACGAAGCCTGACCCAGCGCCTGGCCTGGAGGCCTCCACCAACATCTCCGGGGAATGGTCTCTGCCCTCGGTTGCAGAAGCCTGTCTTCTCCGCCGGAAGCCGGAAGAATTCACTGACCCTGAGGCCAAGTTGCACCTCTGTCCTCCAGCGTTTCTCAGAAAAGTTGCGAAAGAGGTGGAGTCCGGTCAGGGGACAGGACCTGCACAACCAGAATGCTTTTAATGCCTCTTAAATCTGTGTCCAGCACTTCGCCTCTCACACTGGCATCTGGCCACTGAGCCAGCCTTCCCGGCTCCCCCACCTCCCCATACAGGAGGGAGGGCGCACAATCCATACATCTGCCCCGAGGGTCTGGCCCTGGAAGGCCCGAGGGCACCGTGGGGCCAGCCACTGCAGAGGTCCCCCTGGTCTGGACCTCGCTGAAGGGGAATCTGGGAGGAAGTGAGAGGGCAGGCCCGGAGTCTGGGCGGGGACCAGCTGGGATGGCCTTGAACTGGGCCCAGCTGGGCCTCACCAGCGCCCCAGCCCCGCCTCGCCCCTCCCCCTCCCCTCTTTCAGTCCCACCTC